AGCAGCCTCAAGGTTGCCACCACTCCGTATGGAAAGCTCCACCTGGGCAAAAAGACAGCAACGGGTCCATAGACCACAAGGTGCAGAAGGCAGCTGTAGGCAACAAAACAAAACAGAGTCCAGGAAGGATCCCCCGGAATAAAGCTGTAGGGAGGAAGAAAGCATGGCCTGCTAAGAGGAAAGGCGAGCTCTCTCGATGTGCTGACAGTGGGCTGAAGCAGAGAAAGGCAAATGGGATTATTGAGTTGGAAAGCTCCAGAAAAAATTGCTTTCCCAGATACTTGGTTGATCTCAATTCAGAAAGCTCTGACCCGGTTTTTGCAGCTCGCCATCAGCAGATCCTCAGCAGTGCTCAGTCAGGGCTTATAGAGAATTTCCCACCAGTGCCATGCTCTGATAAAAGCCTGCAACAACTTGCAAGCAGAAGAAAGAAAAGTTTGGAAATTAAAAGAAGAGTGAATGTTTCCACCGTAAAAAGGTATATCTTGGATTCCTCTCCTGAGGGGAATATATTATCCTTATGTAGCACAACAGGTGTAGAGCAGATGAGCTGCTTCAACCTCCAAAGCCCCTCAAGCTCCAAGAAACCACATCCTGCCAATCCGCTGGCTCAGAAGAACACAACCTGTTGCTCTTTACTGTTTGATAGTGATTCTTCTGATTGAAGGGGTCATGTTCAGAGCCCTCAGTGCAGGATTGACCATCTCAGTTGCAGTTTATTCTTCTAGGTGTGTTACCTGCTTAGCCAGAAGCTCTAAAGTGTTATTGGCCAGTTTGAGATATTGCAAGAGACTATGTGAGGACAGCTCTCCCCTCTCCTGAAGCTGTATTACTTTATGTCCCTGTTCCCACCAGAGATGTCAAGGGCTCCAGTTACCATCGTATTTACACACTCGCAGAGTCTGCCGAGACATTCCCAGGGAGGAGAGAGTTGGCAGAGAACAGACGGGCAGCTCAGTCAGATTTGGCACTGAGATTTACTGGAAACTTTTCAACTTTTCAATGTAATGCTATCTCTGTGGCCAGAGGCTTCATTCTGTTTCTCACCCATAGTCTCTATGTTGGTTTGTTGTGTAAAAGTTCAGGTTTCTAGTTCTGGAGGCAGTAGTAGTGTTGTTCTGGTTGATTTCGATAAGGTTCAGATTTGTCCCAGGATTTGTTTGTGAACTTTGGACAGGGACCAGTTCAGCTAAGGAAAACCAAATCCCAATGTCTCAGGTTCATCGACTATTGAATTTCTTCTCCTTTTAGGCTGAAAATTTCTTGGTCTCAGAAATTTCAGGAAATTATTTTGTTTCTACTTTTTTTGTATTTGTATCTCTTGGCTGATTAAGGAATTCTCCAACGTATCCTTTTCAAGGGCAGTGGTTCTCAAACAGAGGCCAAAAGATACAATGTTCAGATCCAGCAGATGACACGTTGGACAGCCGCTATTCCCACGGAGAACTCTTTCCATGGTACCCAACTGTGACTATCAGTAGCTCTCACTGCTTCGGCCATTTGTGTCAGGTTTGATTTCCAATTTGAAATCTTACCAGCAAAAAAGCATTTTGATGTTCGCAAAAGCAAATATGTGGTGTTGCCACAAATCCAAATGATCCAGCTTTATTATCCCGGCTTTAATAAACTCTTTGTGCTGTCACCAAAGCCTATTTTCTCTGTGTTGGTTTTTCGGGAGAGTCATGGTCCTGTTCCAGTGGGAGAGTGGGCGGCTGCTCTTTAGCTATTTAACTCCCCTGGATCGTGGAACTGGGAGGATTCCTTTCTTCAGTTCCTTTCTTTGTTTAAAGAAGGAAAACTACACCCCTCCAGTTTAACATTGGTCCAGTGATGTTAATTAGCAAGGAGGAAGAGGTGGGGGTAGGTGTGGGGAGTTGGTCAGGGAAGGGGCTGGGTGACGCTGTCGGCAGCAGTGGCTGTTCATTTCACATTGCCCTCACGTGCCTGCCTCCCCATCATTCCCTTCATGGCCTTCGCTGGGCAAAACCTGCTCGGGGGGGGCTCACGACCCCCTGCATTTTGGGCCCGGCGGGGACGGGTGCAGGTCTCTGTGCAGCCCCCGGCCTGGACGCAGGGAGCTCGACAGCACATGGCTGAGCTTGGAGGGACCTCTGGAGGTGTCTGCCGCAAGCCCCTGCGCAAAGGCAAAGCAGGGACTGGCTCCTCGGCACCCCGACAAGGAGCACCAGTGCCGTGGGGTGCAATGCAGGGCTGCCCTGGGGACCCTGCAGCCCCTGGCACACACATGTGCTGGCACACAGCTCAAAACAAAATCCCTGGAGATGGAGGTGTAACAGCAACAGCAGGCAGCAGTGCCTCCCCACGTCGACTCACAACTGGTGAAGGGGATGCAGCCCCGGGGTGCCACACTGGCCCCCATCGCCCCTCCTGTTCCCACTCAGGGTGTCCTCCGGGATTTTAGCTGCCAACACGGGTATTTGTCCCAATACGGCTGTGATGATGGCAGCTCCTCTCCCAGCCTTGCTGGACAAAAATGGAAGCATGTGTGCTGCATGGCAGCAGAATTCCCGGGCACCCTGCTTACGTCCCAAGGGAGCAGGTCCTGCCTCCCAGCCCGTACTCTCAGCTCACTGTCACTGGCTCCTTGCCAGAGCCAGCCATGCCCTAGGCACATGGGGCCCTGCATCCACAGTTTCTCCTGGTCTTTGCCTCCATGGGGCTGCCAGTGCCTGCGTTTGTGGGGTCTCATCCCACCCTTTATCCAGGGAAGGTGTCAGGGTGGTTCCTCTAGCAGCAGAGCCAAGGGGGACTGCGGAGGGCATGGGGCAGGACCATAAAACATGCACAGCAGTCAGAAAATAGCAAAGCTGGGCTCCAGACTGTTTGAGGGCACTTAATTGGGGCCGTTTTCTCTGAAGCTGGGGTTTTGTCCTATTATCTTTGGGAAGAGCCCAGGAGAAGGGGGATTACAGTGGTCAAAAGCCTGTGACACCCAGGTAGCCACAGGTACAGGGGTATGAGAGCACTGGTCACATCCTTCACCCACTGTACAGGCAGCAGGCAGCCTCTGTGGCAGCACAGAGCAGGGGGCTCAGCTTTCCACCTGCCAGTGAGTCACTTGGCAGAAGAGGAAACCTCTGACAGCACAGAGGATGTGGCTGCGGTGCCCCTGCCTTATGCAAAAGGTGCCCCAACAGCTGTGGTATGTAGGGCACAGCCAGCTCCCTCCCCACAGTCCCACCGCACACTCAGCATTGTGGCCGCACCATCCACGGGATGAGACCATCTGGCTGTGGTGGTGCCGGCAGTGCCCCCTGCAGTGCAGGATCACCTCCACTCTACCCCTGGGCGGCCTCCCCAGTGCTAATCCCCAGACTAACTGCCTGCCCTGCCTGCGTTGTGGGGCCCGGCGCAACGGCATTGCCCACATTCCCAGACCCTGTTCTCAGCTGGCTGCCACAGCCTCCCAACCCCACAGAGGGATGGACTGGGGACCAGAAATGCCCCATGCACTGATGGTGAGCCCAGCCCAGGCACTATGTCCCGGGAATGGACAATGGCAGGAGCAGGAGTGGGGCACTGTGTGCTGCTGCCGGCACAGCACTGCCGTGGGGATCTGAGGTGCCACATGGCCCCACTGGCCCCGTGAGAGGAGAGTGATGGTGATGACAGGGCTTTGCCAAGGCTGTGGTGTCTCAGGCACTGCTGAGGTGCAGGCTGGGAGGAGCAGGGGTGCAGGCAGGGACATGGAGTGCAGGTGTCACCGTGCAGAACAGAGCCCTGAGCTGGTGTGATTTTGTGGCGCCGTGGCCGTGCCAATGTCAGCCCAAGCCCAGCAGGGCGGGCAGCTCTCCAGACGGACATTTAAGCAGATTAACTAATTACCTGCACCTTGGCAGGGTCCCACGGCCCAGTGGCTGCTAGGGCGCTGTGTGCCCACGGCAAAGCAGCTGGGAGGCAGGTGTGGGGCAGACGGGTAGCAGGGACCCCCAGACCTTCCCCAGGACCCAGCTAGAGAGCTCGGCAGCGCCCCAGCCGCCCTGCGCCTACCCCTTGGCGGCCGCGGGACCAACCTCGGCCGCATCCCGTGCCGAGGTGCCACCGCACTGCTCGCTCCGGGTGACCCTGCCCGTCCCACGGGCACCATCTCCCCTCCGCCGCCCCACCGTGTCCCGCGGGGACCTGCCCCGGTGCCTCTCCAGAAGCCACGTCGCAGAGGCACCCGCGCCACGGAGGACCCGACCTCGAGAGTCCATTCCGGATGAGCCCCAGGACCCGCCCGCCTCTGTGCCCGGTCCCGCGGGTCCCGTCCCGGCGCGGCGGCCCCGGCCGTGCCCCGCGCCCCCCCTCTCGGTGCAGGCG